AAAATATGACTCAGATAGGGCTCCTTGGCCTTTGGATGTGACTAGGCAGGCAAGGTCGTTATCTTCACAGTGGTGCCTGGGTGAATCTAATTCGGTTGTCTTTGTTTTAAAAGCTGAAAACCAGTTTGAGTTTCCAAAAATGGTTTAAAAAAAAAACTAGTTAGCTGTAGTATGACCATTTAAAAAGAATTCTTAAAATTCCCACAAGGTCCTCAATAAAATGTTATGGAAAAGTCTTCCATGTCTATCGAAAAGACGTAATAAAAAACCTCGATACAATCCAATCCGAACAATTTTCTCAAAAAGTCCTGTAAATCATTGGAAATCTTTTTCTTAAAAAATCATGAAACAGCTGTTTCTAATAACTCAGAGAGGCCTTCTTAAAACGGTCCTCAAAATGTCCTTGAAAATTTTGCGTATAAAAATCCACGATTCTTTCTTTAAAATCTCACGAAAAAAATCCTGTAGTCATTGAAAAAATTGTTTATAAAAATAATCTCGAAGAAATTTAATGAAACAGTTTTTTCCTTGTCAAGAGGGGAGTGCTTCGTTAAAAGTTGTCTTTAAGAGTCCGTGAAGAACTGGTGAACCTTTCTTTTCAGGAGAACAAAACTTTGCCCCCAGTCCACGATGTAGAAAAAAAGATTCCTAAAAATCCTTAAAAATATATTTTTAAAAATTCTCGATGTCCTTAAAAATTTCTTAAAACTTTTTACACTTATTACACTTAAATTAAATGTTAAAAATATTTTTAACATTTAATTTAAGTGTAATAAATATTCTTAAAAAAAAGTCAAAGAAATTTCATGAAATAATTTTTGTCCTTGTCAAGGGGAGTTTGGGGAGCTGGGGAGCCATGAGGTTTATCAGGTCTTTTCAAGGCAAACAATTTTTTTCTTCCACAGCCCACATGGCCCTCAAAAATAATTATTTGAAAAAAAAATCCTGAAAATATCTTAAAATATTAAATTTTATTAATTAATATAAAAAATATATTTGAAGTCCTTTAAAATTCCCGATTTCTTTATTTTTTTTTTTTTTAATTTTAAGAAATTTAATTTTTTTAAATATTTTTTTTCTTGATAATTTTTTTAAGAGTACTCGAAGCTTATCAGTTTTTGTTAGGGGAAATAATATTTTTCTGCCGAAAAAAGTCTCTTAAAAAATCTTTTAAATACTATTAACTAAAACTCTTTAATTTTTCAATTAATTTTTTAGGGACCATGAGGATCCTACTTTTTTCCAACAGGAAATTTGAAAAAGGATTTAAAATCCTCGGGGTCTTTAAAATGTTGTCATTCATGCCAAAAGATTTCGCTCAATAAACTTCTCAAACAGACTTAAAAAATCCTTGCTTGGGCTACAAATTGCAGAAGACCCCTGAAAAATGCTTTTAAAAAATATAATTTTTTTTCCAGAAAGACTAAAAAAAAATTATTTTTGTTCAATTCCACATATAAAAAATATAAAATAGTTGAGGTCATAGGAATTTTAATTTCTTTAAATTCCAGAGTATGGTCAAGGTGAAATCCAAAAAAGTTATAAAAATTATACGATTTTTAAAACATCCTTGAAAAATTATTATTACAAATATACCTGAAATAAATAGCCAATTTTTGGTCGGAAAGTCCTTTTAAATATATTTAAAAAAATTCACTTGGTAAAATTCTCATTCTATATCGAGATCCTATAAAAACCCCTTCTTTAAAAAAATCATAAAATTGTCTAAAATATCCTCGAAGTCCTTGGACAAAAACAAGAGACCCTTGAAAAATACATTTAAAAAAATATGATTTATTTCCAGGAAAACTTAGTAAAAATTGTTCTAAACATTTTGACATCTCACTTTTTTGAGGTCCTAGAATTTTTTTTAACAGTACAAGAGTTTGGTGATATATTCGGAAAAAAATCCTTAACAAATTCTTTGATTTACATAAAACCAAGAAGTCTTTGAAAACAACTCTTAAAACATCTTTGAACACTTATTCCCTAAAATGAATACCAAATTTCGGATCAGGAAGTCGTTTTAAAATATTTTTTTTAGAAAAAATTTTCATTCTTCATGGACGCCTTCGAAAAACCCTTCTTTAAAAAATCAAAAAATCTAGAAATTGACTTTTGAAGTACTTGGAAAAAAAGGGTTACGATTTACAAGAGTCCCCTGAAGAATGCTTTAAGAATATATTATTTTTGTTCTCTTGATATTTTCTTAAATCGCCAGGTGGTTAAAAAATAATAAAATTTATTTTATTTTATTTTTTGAATTCGCCGTCGACTTGAAAAAAATTAAGAAAATTTTTGAAGTCCTAGAAAAAATCAGAAAAAATACTAAAAATTCTTCTTCCATCCTTGAACAAGTATTCCTTAAAATAAATAGCTAATTTTTGTTCAAAAAGTAGTTTTAACTACATTTTACCAAATTTCTCATTCTTCATGGAGGCCTTCGAAAAACCCTTCTTTAAAAAATCAAAAAATCTAGAAAATGATTCTTGAAGTACTTGGAACAGACAGGGTTAAAATTCACAAGAGTCCCCTGAAAAAATGCTTTAAAAATATATTATTTTTGTTCTCCAGACATTTTCCTGAATCGCCAGGCGGTTAGAAAATAATATATATATTTTTTTTATTTTTTGAATTCGCCGGGCGCTTGAAAAAAATGAATAAAATGTTTGAAGTCCTAGAAAAAATCCGAAAAAATTACTAAAAATTCTTCTTCCATCCTTGAACAAGTATTCCTTAAAATAAATAGCTAATTTTTGTTCAAAAAGTCGTTTTAAATATATTTTGCCAAAATTCTCATTCTTCATCGAGACCTTCGAAAATTCCTTCTTTAAAAAATCAAAAAAAAAATCTAGAAATTGATTCTTGAAGTACTTGGAACAAACAGGGGTAAAATTTTCAAGAGTCCCCTGAAAAAAGGCTTAAAGAATATATTATTTTTGTTCTCTTGATATTTTCTTAAATCGCTAAGCAGTTAAAAAATAACAAAAAATATTTTTTTTTATATTTTGAATTCGCCGGGCACTTGAAAAAAAATTAATAAAATTTTTAAAGTCCTAGAAAAAATCAGAAATAATTACTAAAAATTCTTCTACCATCCCTGAACAAGTATTCCTTAAAATAAATACAAAATTTTTGGTCAGGAAGTCGTTTTAAAAATATTTTTAGAGAAAATTCTCATTCTATAGCAAGGCCTTCGAAAAACCCTTCTTTAAAAGAATCAAAAAATCTAGAAATTGATTTTTGAAGTACTTGGAACAAATTGGGTTAGAATTTGCAAGAGTCCCCTGAAGAAATGCTTTAAGAATATATTATTTTTGTTCTCTTGACATTTTCCTGAATCGCCAGGCGGTTAAAAAATAATATTTTTTTTTATTTTATTTTTTTTTACTTTTTGAATTCGCCGGGCGCTTGAAAAAAATTAATAAAATGTTTGAAGTCCTAGAAAAAAAAAAATCCGAAAAAATTACTAAAAATTCTTCTTCTATCCATGAAAAAGTATTCCTTAAAATAAATAGCTAATTTTTGTTCAAGAAGTCGTTTTAAATATATTTTGCCAAAATTCTCATTCTTCATGGAGGCCTTCGAAAAACCCTTCTTTCAAAAATCAAAAAATCTAGAAATTGATTTTTGAAGTACTTGGAACAAATTGGATTAAAATTTACAAGAGTCCCCTGAAAAAATGTTTTAAGAATATATTATTTTTGTTCTCTTGATATTTTCTTAAATCGCCAGGCGGTTAAAAAATATAAAAAAAAATATTTTATTTTATTTATTTATTTATTTTTTTTTTTTTTTGAATTTGCCGGGATCTTAATAAAATGAATAAAATTGAAGTCCTAGAAAAAATCCGAAAAAATTACTAAAAATTCTTCAATTTATAAAATCTTCCTCGAAACACTCCAGGATATTATTCCCTAAAATATTTATCCGATTTTTGGTCAGAAAGTTCTTTAAAAAAAACTTAGCGCCTGGCAAAATTCTTATTTTACACCTTTACATTTCGTCAAAAATATAAAGAAAATGTAGAAGAAATTTTTATATCCCTTTGGGTTCGAATATTCAAACCCACCCTATTCTCATATGTCTGACAAAAATATTGACCTCTATATAAAATTTAGAAGCCCTAACTCTTATCGTTCTCTTCTATAGTAAATTAAAGACCTCTAGGCCTTCTACAGAAAATAAAACATATTTCTTCAAGAAACTGCATTTCCTGACAGGCCATAGACGAACCTAGCTATTTCATTTTCATAACTAACATCCCAGCCGAAGGGCGGAGGCTAAAAAGAAAATAAAAACTTAAAAATAACAACAAAATACCCTGCATGCAACCAATCTGCCGAGATATGCCACGGAATGTAATTAAACTTGCTACACTTCAACGATTATGGTGGCATGTGGCACGCTTTGTATTTTTATAATTTTTTTTTCGCCTCGTCTTTTGTTGTTGTTGTAGTTGTTATGCATGGCTCGTTTGTTTCCGAAAAGGCCCTCTTTAGAAACAATGGTTTGTCTTCTTCATGGTTGCAGCTTCTTCTTCATGATTTTCATCTTCAGCTGGGGTACAGGCAGCTACCTCATATGAAACTTGCTTCTTGGCAAGTTGTGAAATCTAGCTATGCCGCTGCCACGGCATAGAACTGAAGGCAATCCACAAACTTGAGATGCAGGCAAGTAACTGACTAAAGATGATGGCTGTGGCTATGGCGACGATGAAGATGACGATGGCAAAATTGGTGGAAACTAACTTTCAGTTTTTATTAATTTGTTGATTTTTTTCTGCCAAGTTTCTTAATAAGTCTTTTTTTGGTATTTTTCAGATTTTTCTGCCCAGCATTTTAGGCGGTAATTATGTTTTGCAAACATTTTCAAGAAAATTCTGTAAAAATCCCAGCAGAGATAGACAACTGAGAAACCAAAAAAAAAAAAAAAAAAAAAAAAAAAAAAAAAAAAAAAAAAAAATTGGAACAAAATAAACATTAAAAACGCATAAAGAATATTTCAAAATAATTTGAAAAAAAAAAAACAAAAAATTCTCTACGAAACCTGTTCTCACCACACCAACCACGATGACAACGAATATTGCCTTGGTTCTGGTCATTGGCTTTTGTTGGCTGGCCATTTGCGTTGATATGGTGCCTCTGAGTGCAGCGCAGCAACAGCAGCAGCTGCAATTACAAATGCAACAACAGCATCAACAATCGCCACATCAAAACAACTACAAACAACAGCTACAATATCAGATGCAACAGAAGGACAAATTCCAATATCAGCAGCATATGAAACAACAACAACAATACTATCAGCAACACTACCAACAACAGCAGCACTTGGATATACAAAATCAGCAGCAGGTAAAACATCAGCAGCAGTTACATGAAATACCCTCACCAACGGCCATGGATTTAATAGCCGATCAGCAACAACAACGAGAGCAGTTACAACAGCAAAAGCAACAGCAGTCGTACTTCTCAGTTCGACCCACACAGGTGAGTCGAAAAAAATTTGATTCATACACATGTACAGGCCATAGAAGATCTACAGCTCTTCTATGGCTCACAGAAGACCCACAGCTCTTCTCTGAGCCATAGAAGACACCTACAGCTCTTCCATGAGCCATAGAAGACCTACAGCTCTTCTATGAGCCATAGAAGACCTAAAGCTCTTCTATGACCCATAGAAGACCTACAGCTCTTCTATGACCCTTAGAAGACCTACAGCTCTTCTATGAGACATAGAAGACACCTACAGCTCTTCTATGAGCCATAGAAGATACCTACAGCTCTTCTTTGAGCCATAGAAGACCGACAGCTCTTCTAGGAGCCATAGGATACACCTACAGCTCTTCTATGAGCCATAGAAGACACCTACAGCTCTTCTAGGAGCCATAGAAGATACCTACAGCTCTTCTAGGAGCCATAGGATACACCTACAGCTCTTCTATGAGCCATAGAAGACACCTACAGCTCTTCTATGAGGCATAGAAGACACCTACAGCTCTTCTATGAGCCATAGAAGACCTACAGCTCTTCTATGAGCCATAGAAGACCTACAGCTCTTCTATGAGCCATAGAAGACCTACAGCTCTTCTAAGAGCCATAGAAGACCTACAGCTCTTCTATGAGCCATAGAAGACACCTACAGCTCTTCTATGAGCCATAGAAGACACCTACAGCTCTTCTATGAGCCATAGAAGACCTACAGCTCTTCTATGAGCCATAGAAGACCTACAGCTCTTCTATGAGCCATAGAAGACCTACAGCTCTTCTATGAGCCATAGAAGACCTACAGCTCTTCTATGTCCAATTTAGCTGGAGATCTTCTACTGACCACAGAAGAGCGGGGGCTCTTCTATTACCTATAGAAGAGCTGTAGGTCTTCTATTGCCCATAGAAGAGCTGTAGGTCTTCTACTGCCCATAGAAGAGCTGTAGGTCTTCTACTGCCCATAGAAGAGCTGTAGGTCTTCAATTGCCCATAGAAGAGCTGTAAGTCTTATATTGCCCATAGAAGAGCTGTAGGTCTTCTATTGGCGATAGAAGAGCTGTAGGTCTTCTATTGGCCATAGAAGAGGTGTAGGTCTTCTATTGGCCATAGAACACCTGTAGGTCTTCTAATGCCCACAGAAGACCTGTAGGTCTTCTAATGCCCACAGAAGACCTGTAGGTCTTCTAATGGCTATAGAAGACCTGTGGGTCTTCTATTGCCCATAGAAGAGCTGTAGGTCTTCTATTGCCCATAGAAGAGCTGTAGGTCTTCTATTGCCCATAGAAGAGCTGTAGGTCTTCTATTGCCCATAGAAGAGCTGTAGGTCTTCTATTGCCCATAGAAGAGCTGTAGGTCTTCTATTGCCCATAGAAGAGCTGTAGGTCATCTAATGGCTATAGAAGACCTGTGGGTCTTCTAATGGCTATAGAAGACCTGTAGGTCTTCTTTTGGTCGTAGAAGATCTGTAGGTCTTCTACTGCCCATAGAAGAGCTGTAGGTCTTCTTCTGCCTATAGAAGACCTGTAGGGCTTCTACTGGCTACAGAACACCTGTGGGTCTTCTACTGGCTATAGAAGACCTGTTAATCATCTACTTGTTGTAGAAGACTTACCACCAAGACCTCTAGGCCTTCTTTGGCAAATAGGGGACCTCTAGGTTGTATATAAGGAATATATACGATATAGAGGACCTCTGCCGATATTTTATTCAACGTTGTTCGTTTTGAAAAGTATTGTTCTCCCTTTTCAAAAGACTTTTTCATTTCCACTTTAACCATTTAAAATTCTCCCCTGCAAAATCTGTCATCGATGTTTGAAAAAATTGTTAAAAATTCGAAACCATCTCCAATCAATAAAGCTATCAAAGCCATTGCTGTTGAGTGTCACATGTCAAAATGACACAATGGAATTTTGCGCACATCGATACCTTTCAATTAATTTTTCAAGCGAGAGCTCAAAGGAAGGATTTTTTTTTTTGGTATTTTTGGGGAGAAATTTCGATGCCTTTGCAAAAACTGCCACACAAGCTCAAGGACTTTATTTTTTGTTATTTAATTAATTTTTTGGTGCTTTTACGGAGCAACCGTTTTGTATGGGACCTCTCACTTTGGGTTGCAGTAGAATCCTTGACATGGTTGTCAGGATGATTTTCTTATATTTCAAGATATTAAAAAAAAATGTGTGTCTAACAGTTCTGCCTCTTAAATTTTAAGCTCAATATATGTATGTGTGTCTATATGATTATCCCGACACATAAGGATAAGCTTCCATCCATAGGCTTTTTCCAGCTATTATATGTCTTTATTAGTCCTGCTTGTCTTGGATTTTTTTGAGAAACAATAAATCTAAAGGATTTCGAAAGGCAAAACAAAAGCCATGTTTAAGGATAACAAATATGACAAAATATTATACAAGTGCCAAGGGAAGGAACCTAATCCTCTGCCACCATTCTGCCCAAGGACAACCACAAATAACAATTTTTTTTTGTTTTTTTGGCACGCAAACCAACCCAGTGTCTTTCATGCAACACGGAAATATGCCTTGGCAAAATTGTGTGACAACAGCAAACCCTACCAAACAAAACGCACAAAGAGAGAAAGAGAGAGAGGGAGAGAGAGTCAAATCTCATAACGGTTTAACATCTCAAAAATATGCTGGCAAATTTGTTAAACGGTAACGCAGTAATGGTGGCATCGCAGTAGCATCATAAAACATTTTTCATTTGCATTCAAATATTTTCTCTCGGCTAACTCTCTCCCTCTCACCTCTCCTGACTCATATTTGTAACATGACAGCCACTGCCTTGTACTCTGAGATAAGGGCGCCATGGGAGACAAAGCCAAAGAATTGAATTAAAATTCTAATTAAGAAAATAAATTTAAAAGTGAAATTTTCTGATTTCGCCCTTTCCACAAAGAAAACCACAATATCGTGGGGGAAGGTAATTAAATGAAGCTACCGTTTTGTCGTTATAATTTGCAGAAGAAGTAGAAGCGAAAAATAATAAATTAAAGAAAATTATGTTAATTAATTGTTTGACCATTGGTTGAGGTAATTTAATTAGCAACACTAAAGCAAGAAGTTATGGTAGGTTAGTATTTTATATCACATGCGATAAAAAAAACCTCTAAGATATATCCTATGCGATATTTTTACATAAGAAGGACCTTTGCCGACTATAAGAGCTTATCGCACGGGCTACATTTTGATAGGCTCGTAGATTTTCGAATAACAGATATTCATAAAATTAAAATGTGAAATTAGGATTTATTTAGTTAAACTAAGAGGTAGGTGTTATTAAATCGTCAAAATACTAAATGTATAAAAATCGTCAAAATACCGAATATAAGGAGGCACAGTTATATGTGAAATATCTGAAAATATGGACCTGTATCTGGGCAATTTTCTATTATATTATTGAAACAATGCCGGTGATAAGTGTGATGCAAATCACATCGAAATACCGAAATTTTAGAGATACAGTTATATGGTCCCTACAATCTGCCAGTGAAGGGGGCACCTACTATGAACTGCAAATACCAAATTTGAGACAATTCTGGAAAACATAAATCCTATAAAAAATCCATTTGGGTATGAAGGCATGGGTTTCAAAGAAATGTTTTATAAATCCACTGGTCCAAAAGCAAACATTTTTTTATTTTTTTTTTTTCTCACAGACCAAAAAAGTTTCAATCGTGGATTTCAAAAATAAAATATAATCTAACAGGACCAAGTACTCGAAAACGGATTTTTTATGAGAACTACCTAGCGCACTGGGATTTATGACAACATTTTCATAATTCTATTTTTCTCAAGGATCCAAAGGATCACGAGCGTAAAATATACATAGTCTCTCTGAGATGAAAAGGATAATTTTGTAAAAATATTACTCATGGATATACTATGACTCAACCTAGGATTTTTTTTTTCAAATTTTAGGACAAGACTTGACTTTGGAATTTTTTCAATTTTTATCAAGGATCAGCAAGGTCTTAATTTCGGATTTTAAAGGATATTTTCAGGGATCAATCAAACTAGGGATTTTAATTATCTTTTTTAAGGGCCAATTAAATGGCAGTCGTGGATTTTTAAGAATTTTTTTCGTGTTTTTTTATTTGAAGTTTCTCTCAAGGATTGAGATTTTATCAAAACCCAAAAACGTTTTTTAGGCAACAGATCAAAAATAATAACTTTTTAAGATTTTTTTAGGTACCACTGTTGATTTTTATAGTTTTTTTTTTCTCAAGAACCAACTGGATTTTCAAAGATTTTTTAAACTACCAATTCGCCAAAGTTCTTTAATTTTAATAAATTTTCAACTTCAAAACAAAAAAATGATTTTTTACCAGTTCTTTTTTTCTTAAGGATTGAATTACATAAATATTTTTCTCATTTGTTTCAATCTAGGGTTTTTTTAATTTTATACAGAACCAATAAGCTCTCAATTTTGGATTTTAAGGAATATTTTCTGAGGTCAACAAGACTAGGTGGATATTAATATTTTTTTTTTCTCAAATATCAATTCGGTGGCTCTCGGAGGGATTTCTCTCAAAGACTGCGATTTTTTCCTATGCATCTCCAAGACCGCAAACAATAAATATAGAAATAAGCTATTTGGGCCACAACGTTTAATTTTTAAAGGCTTTTTTTTTCTCAAGAACCAACTTAATTTTCTAAAAATTTTTAAGGACCATCAGGGCAAATATTCTTAATTTTTTTACCCTCAGCCATATGGCTAAACAGTATATATATCACTTGATATGGCCAAAACGGACCTCATCGAAATAACGGTTGTAGACCCCAGATCTCTTGGGACCAAATTCGTTTCAGGACATTTGGAGCGATGTCCGTCCGTTCGTCTGGATGGACGGATGGGGCACTCGATAACTCTTGAAAAGAGTGTTCGATTTCATCCAAACTTGGTACAACGTAATATTATTATCAAACCTAAATCAAGTTCGGAGATGGACAATATCGGCCCTCTCCTTCTGCTATCTTTCCCAC